AAATTATAATAACAAATAATAATAATAATTATAAATATTAAAAATTAGAATAATAAATAATAATAATAATGATAATTATTATAAATTATAAATTATATAAAAATAATAATTAATAATAATAATGATAATAATTTAAAAAAAAAAAAAAAAATATTCCGTCCGGCCGGCCGGACCGGACGGACCGGTTCCGACCGGCCGCCGGTTCCGGTCAGGCACGGTCCGTCCGGCCGTGCTTTCCGGACGGTATTTGCTCCGTCCGGCCACCGGTTCCGGACGGGCTTTAAGCCGTCCGGCCGCCGGTTCCGGACGGGCTTTAAACTGTCCGGAACCGACGTCCGGACACGAATTTTTTCGTACCTCGGAATTTGACGACATTTCACCGTACACTTCTCTGAGATGTTTACGAAAAATGAGAGGGGCAAAATTGTCCAAGGGGGGCGGTGACTAGTAATTTGGGGGGCGGTGAATAGTAATGCCCTATTTCAACCATCTAGAAGCAGTTGTTACAATGGTTAACAAGGTCAGATATTTTATTTTTACTTCTTTTTCATATTTTATTTTTACTTTTTTTTCGTATCTAATCATGTTAGTGGTTTAATTTTGAGCTGTTATTTTTTTGTTGCATGCTTTGGTCCTCTGAATTGAAACTTATTGTCTGTATGTCTAGCTGATATCATCATCTGATGATATGAAGTTCCAATCTGGAGAAATGCCTAACTACACAACATCAGATGGATCTGTATGTACCACCTTCTCACTTTGCCCCCTTTTTTTTTGTGAATGTTCAAAATATTTGAATTTTAAGACATTTCAGTTGACACATTTTTTCGACTATTTGATCATCCTGGATTCAGCATCTGGTTTTCTATTTCTTTCTTATTATAGCCTCCGTGTCTCCATTATAATAAGTATTTCAAATGTTTTGGCAGGTCAAAATTCAGAAAGAAAGAAAAGTTAGACTGAAAATAATTGGAACATGAGTGGACGCAACTGAAATTGTAGGTCCTTTATGTGTTGATAGATTGTCATACTTTATTTTTGTGTTAACCATATCTTGTTCTATTATATTATTGGTTCCCTCTAATTTTGTGCAGCTATGTCGAAACCTCGTGCGTCTTTTAGCATCAGAATTGTCGGAATTACTCTTGGCACCTTTATCTGTTTATTATGAGCACATTATGTAGTCAACTCCTTGTAAAATTAGCTTTATTGATTTGAAGGTGAATATGATGCATGTTGCTGGTAAAGTATCCTTCTAAAGGATGTCTTATGGTTTATTTTGCAATGACTATTAATAAGAGTCAAGAACAAACATTGACAAGGACGGAAAAATTGTAAATAAAACTATTAATGTAGTGTACAAAGAAATTTTTCAAAATTTGAAATAATATCGACTTTAGTATTTTCTATTTTTGCACTTTTATACGACAATACGTCTTTTTTCTATTATTTTATGTTTTATATTTTTTTTCTCCAAACAACCCGTGTAATACACGGGTGTCGTACTAGTAACATATTGTTTCTCAATAGAAAAAAAAATGTTCGAACTATTATTTATAACTACCATTTGACTAGTTATTTGGTATGCTTCGGGAATTTTCATAATATAACATATTGGTGAATTTATATTCTATCACTATATTCTATGTGTTAGATTTTTGTCTCATTTGTTTGTTATTAGCTGTTCTGATTGGCTTAAATATTTTGCTGTGAAATAGAATAAAATTTGTTAATAATTATCTATCAAAATAATAATAATAATAATAATAATAATAATACATTATAACTCATAATTACATGTGAAGTAGAATAGCAAACTTGTAATATACAAGGATGAGACATATTACTTACCTTTCTAAAAACATATACACCACCCAGCTCAAGTTAAACGGGCTAGCCCTAACGGGCTTCGGGCTAAACGGTTCGGGCCTAAAAAGCCTTGTTTAAATGGGCTGGCAATAAAAGGCCCTAACCCTGTTTTTTTTTTCCGGGCTAAACGGGCCAGTCCATCGGGCCAAAGATCATTTAACATCTCTATTTATAACAGTTCTTTATTCACCCGTTATAAAATATACTATATTTATAACGGATTTTTATTAACCTGTTATAAACATGATTTTGTTTACACTATAATTTATAACGGGTTACAAATCACCGTTATAAAAACAATGTATTTGATAAAGGGTAAATAATAACCCGTTATAATTTTGAACTGACATCACAATGCACAATATTTTAAATTGTATCAACAAACAAATACCAAAAGAAAATATCTACCATTACTTCAATGCCAACACACCAACAACATAGTTCACCTTCATAAACACAACAATACCAAATGACAAACCTTTTCACACATGTTCAACAAACTACGAAGCGTGTCTAACAAAAGTCTACTCTTATCCTACTTCTGTAATGAAGTTATATCGAGAAAATACTGAGTCCAACGTCTCCTTACAACATCAATATCATCACTCGAGAAGGGTTCGTCCAAATTAAACACATGAAATTTGAAAAAAAAAATAATTATAACATATTATCAAGACGAAAAGATAGAATAAATTATTTACTTCAAAATATACGAGTGATTGATATTTACAAATTATTATTTTTATTGAAACGGTTCCTAATGGAAAGCCACCTTGCCGCCAACTGCTACTAAATCACCACCACCACTGAGATTCATCTATCAGTGGAAGAATCCTCTTTGGGACTTGGCTCAAACAACAAAGAAGACACATGAGTTGTTGAATAGTCAAGAATCCTCTTTTGGCTTTTACCTTACTCATAACATCCGCAGAACAAAACATCGATTGTTCCAAAGGAGAAAAGATGAATGTTCAAGAGTTGACAAATGCTTAGATATTGACTAACCTCGTTATCTCTGAAAATTTTCTCGCCATAAGACTTGAAGATTTCAGCCACTGTTCTTCCACCAACAGCCTCCTCTATCATTTTGTCACTGAAATATTCAAAAGTAACATGATGTATAAGGACTAGCAATTCAGGTGAAGTCTGCAATTTCAATTTTTTGGATGATATAAAAACAACCAAATTACTGAATCTATAAGGGCTAGCAATTCTGCTCCTGTAAGTAAGTGGAGCAACACTTTTCATCTACCTAAGTTTTAAGTGTCTAAAATTCTCGGTCCTATAAAATTTCATTTCTTGCATTCCAATCCTAAATGTTTTCAGTTGGTTCAATTTCGACAAAAATATTAGTTTTTAACATACGATTTAATCGCAATATTCCCTTAAATGCCAAAAGCCCAACGACAGTGGAAGTTGCAAGAGTTGAAGGACTAAAACTGGCAATTCCCAATAGTAACAAGACTAAAATTGCAACTTAAGCCTTCATTCCTCACTTGCAATTAAAAGGTGTTTAATATTTGGGACTAACAAGTCATAAAATGAATATCCAAGGGCTTCTGCCAAAACCTTGCCAATGGTTGTTTTTCCCGATCCCATCATACCTGCAAAATTTCAAGGACAAAAAGCAAGAAAAAATGTTAAAAAATTCAACACCATTATTTATATATATATAGTAGATTCATGAAGATATAAGATTAAGAAGGCAATTCATGAAGATATAATAGTATAATATTATTTATTTGTTTAAAGAGATGCCAATCAAAACTTATTTCCACTGTTTTGAGACTTGGGCTGGCAGGGTGGATTATTTGGACCTGGTAGCAAAGAATTCGGTCAAAACTCTGTCGACTCAGGTATTGACCTGACCATTAAATATATTTTATTTATTTTTTATATATCTTTTATTTCTAAAAATAAAATTATGTATGTATATATATGTGTGTGTGATAAATATTTATGATAAATTACAATATTTTTAAGACTTTAGGGTACAAAATTTACATATAATTTGATGTGCCGGAGACATGGACCTAGGTTGAACCGGTAATACGAAGATTCGATCGTCCATGAGTCGCCAACTACCTGCAAAACAAGTGTTGGAGAATAAATTTATACATATTGGTAATTTATACATTAATTTGATAAAAATAAATAAATTTTAATTAGTCAGGTCTTCTGTATTTTCATTTAATTTTTACTTTGTTTGTATTGATATTATTATTTTAATTTTATAGCAATAATGATGAAAATAAGAAGGACAAAGTGATAAAGTAGTATTCATTTTATTTTAATTTAATTTATTTTAAATGATTATTTTAAATTATTTTATTTTATTTACAAATCATGAATGTAGAAAAATAATAAACTAAATATAAAATATGATATGATAAATAGTATTTACATTATTTCATTTTTTAATGGAATAAAAAAAATTACATTTTATTGTTATTTAAATAAGGCAAACCGAGACCATCCATTTGATATTTTTTGTACGGTTATAAGGAAATGGAAACCAATATCATATTTTAGCTAAGGTCTTATAAATTCCAAACATTTGTCTCTAAAAATTCAGATANCCCCACCACCACCGCTACCAAAACACACACACGTGGGAAACCAAAAACAAAAAAACAAAAAGAAAAAAAGGGTGATGGCGTCCAACAATATTCTCCTCCTACTCGTTCTTATCCCATTCCTAACGGCCGAATCAAAACTAACCCCCGACTACTACCACAAAACCTGCCCCCAATTTTCCCAGATCGTCCAGCAGGTCGTGGCCGACAAGCAGCTCGCCATCCCCACCACCGCCGCCGGCACTCTCCGCGTCTTCTTCCACGACTGCATAGTCGGCGGCTGCGACGCCTCCCTCCTCGTCTCCTCCTCTCCTTTCAACACCGCCGAGCGCGACAACTCTATCAACCAGGTGTTGGATTTTAACCTTATGCGAATAAAACGTCGCTTTAATCCAAAGAGCATTCATATTGAATAATTGAGAAACAAATTGAATAAAAGCGGAAGCGTACCGTACTTCATGAATTCAGTTGCTTGATAATTCTCATGCGTTTTGTTCTTCCAAACGTTCTTGTTGTTGACTGGTATGGTCTTCCAAATAGATCGAAACCGTATAGCAGATTTTTTTTTTTTTTTATATTTTTTTTTTTTTTTATCCGTAGTGTTTGTATTGGACAAAATTTTTAAAAAATTGTCTACTATGTTGGCCATTTTTCGAAAAAGGTCCATCATTTATGGCGTCATCAAGAATGGTTCATTAAGTTGTCAATTCATTCAAAATTCGTACAATAACCGACATATTGTACTAAAAGTGATTATTTTTAGTTGTCATATTTAGTACAATATATATGTTGGCTTTTGTACGAGTTTTGATTAAAATGACAACTTAGTGGATCATTCTTGAAGACACCCTATATGATGGACCATTTTCAAAAAATGACCAACATAGTGTACTAAAAATGAAATTTAGCCGTTTGTATTGTGTATGTATCTTTATGTGTATTCCATATATTTTTTCTAAATTATGAAGGTGGGAGAAATATTTTTCGTAGTTTGGGGTCATAACCAAATAAATAAGAAATATAGATTTTCAGTTCGGTCCCTCAACAAACAAACAGGAAAATCACATCAAAGTATATATCTACACTTTTAAATCCATAACGATCTGATACTCTATTTATTCAAAATTATAACTTAATTAATAGATCACTCTAACTGAATCATATCATGACAACCATATACATTTAATTTACATATGTCGTCCACCCAAAATATTCCAGGCCCTCCCCGGGGACGCCTTCGACCTCATCACCCGCGCCAAGACCCGCCTCGAGCTCGCCTGCCCGAGGACCGTATCCTGCGCGGACATCCTCGCGGAGGCCACCCGCGACCTCGTCTCCATGGTCGGCGGCCCTTACTACCCCGTCCGCCTCGGCCGCAAGGACAGCCTCGACTCCCGCGCAGCCGACGTCCCCGGCCACGTCGCCCTCCCCAACATGACCATCTCCACCATCATCACCATGTTCGAGGCCAAGGGGTTCACCGTCCAGGAGATGGTTGCGCTCACGGGCGCCCACACCATCGGCTTCTCCCACTGCTCCGAGTTCGCCGACCGCATACTCGACGGGCATGACGATCCGAGCATGAACCCGGAGTACGCGCGCGGGCTCAGGAAGCTTTGCGCGGGCTACCGTGCGGACCCGACTATTGCGGCGTTTAATGACCCAATGAGCCCTGGAAGGTTCGACAATACGTACTTTGTGAACCTGCAGAGAGGGATGGGGCTGCTGGCGAGCGACCAGGCCATGGCTACGGACCCGAGGACGAAGCCGTTTGTGGATCTCTATGCTAGAGATGAGAAGGCGTTCTACGACGCGTTTGCGCATGCCATGGAGAAGGTGAGCGTGCATAATGTGAAGACGGGGAAGAAAGGGGAGGTTAGGCGTAGGTGTGATGCCTTCAATTCCATGCACATCTGAGCTTGGTTAATCAAGGGGGATTCGTTGGGTGTTCGCCTATGGTGATTGGTTTTAATTAGTATTGGAGAGGGGGAAAAACAAAATTATGAAATTATGAACAAAAATAATTATATGGGTTGATATACTTATTCAGTTATTTGTGTGATGATATTGATGTATTGTGGATTGGTATTTTTTATTTTTTCTTTAAAAGTTGTATTTGTACTTTGAATTGCATGTCTTGTACATATATACGTGTGTTATTGATTTTACTTTTTCATTATAATATTTTTTCTTTTAGAATAACGATAGATTCATTATATAAACACATAATTACAAGCAATTAACTAGTCGACGAAAACCAACTAAAAAAGCTGACTACAGAGAGGTCTACACGACGAGAACGCCAGTAACCTAGAGAACACATCAAACAAAACAAAAACTTCCAAAATTGGAGAGAACACATCAAACAAAACAAAAACTTCCAAAATTGGAGAATCGGGCTCCCAATAGGAGAATAAAACACAGAAACAAACTCAAAACACAGGAAAAGTCCTAATAATTAATTAGACTAATGCCCTCCCCAATATCCAGACAAAACCCCGAATCACCTCCACTCGAACCAGGAACAATCGCCGAACGAGGGATTAGAGAGAATGAAGGAATTGGGGGAAATTTAGAGAGTTCATTGTGGGTTTTTGATTGTTGGTTTTATGTATGTTCATTTGTGGATATTTATGAATGAGGAAAATATGCCTATG